GAACTTTAAGTGGCTACTATTAAATTTTGGAATATATTCCTCTTTATCACAATGGATTAAACATGCCTAAATTAGTTTACATGATTGCTATAATATCCTAACCCACTTAACATGATCTCTCTATAATCTTTCTAGTAAGAGTTCAAGTCTAATGGGGAATACAGTATTAAAATTTGGCAGGTTTTCATGGATAGACCTTAATATGATTGTATATGGGGAAAACGCAAACTAATTATGAAAATTTTCAACCCGAATAAGTTGCTTTTTAATTAAATGCATGTCCCCAGTGATGAAAAAGATAAGGCCAAAAGCTTTATTATAACTGATTGTTCAGAAATGATAACATAAAGATGGCATGGGCTGGTTATATGGAGCAAGCTAATTTCAATCTTGTTCTGCATAAATAGCCAATCAATCTTGTGTGACATATCTCTCCAGGAAGAAAAATGCTTAGAGTAAGGAACTGTTCTCTGGAAATAGTCTGTAAAACAGAGATATTTATCCTTCAAGCACCAAAGTTACCTGCCATCTGCAGACATTAGAGATCATGAAACTGTATGGAAAGATTGACGTATACTTTATTATTATCAGGCAGATTCTTGAGACAAAACACCAACAGAATTTTATTGTTCAGAATCTGTCCTCCTGAATTTATCTTAGATGTGTGAAATTGGACTGGAAATGGCTATATTACCAGTAATACAATCCTAAATATTGTTTTTTTCTTTCTTAGAATTCCAAATGGTTAAAGTGGTAAATTGGATTACTGATTAGGGAATCCTAGTATTAAGACTTGCATTTTTTTTCTTTTGATTTTTCTTAGCAAAACAGATGGCTGGAAATGGTCAGCATTTAATTGCAAAGATTTATATTTCATCTATCTTTTTTTCTGATTATAACATATCCTAATTTTTACAGTGTAAGACTCTCTTTGCCCTTAAAATTCAGGATAACAATGATAGGAGATATGAAACATATTCTTTGTAAAACAATAGTCTACTTTCCTATCAAACCAATTTAATTTTCTTTGGCTAATAATTGCAACATATTTCTTTTCTTTCTTTTCTTTTTTTTTTTGGGTCCGGTCATGGGGCCTGAACTCTGGGCCTGGGTGCTGTCCCTCAGTTCTTCAGCTCAAGGCTAGCGCTCTACCACTTGAGCCACAGCGCCACTTCTGGATTTTTTCTTTTTGCTTATGTGCTGCTGAGGAATCGAACCCAGGGCCTCAGGTATGCAAGGCAAGCACTCTACCACTGAGCCACCTTCCTAGCCCGCAACATATTTCTTATAATTTATGTTTATTCTTTAAAATAACCTGAAATCCTTAGTAAATCAATTTTTTATCCACTACCACCTGATATGAAGTTACTAGTATACAAACTATAATTTAAATATACTTTCCTTAGAGACAGAGGGGAAGCCCAGAGTATACTTATAACAAGTATAACACTTGGCTCATCTTATAAAGCAAACCTTTAAGCTGAATTCATCCCATGGTCTGATCTGATAATACTCTGATTGTCATACTTGCTCATTTTCTAATTTACAGTCTATGGCTGCTTTTGCACTGGAGTTGAATAGTTATGACAGAGACCATATGGCTCTCAATCTCTCAAATATTTATTTTCTGGCTCCTTCCAGAAAAATGTTTATCAACCCTTGCTTTAAAGCACAAGTTACCAATGTCAATAGCTTTGTGAATACACACAGCGGGGGTGTGTCCCATGCACATTCTGTTCCGACAATTAGGCTGTAGCCTCCAAGAATCGGTAATATTTGTCACTTATATTTTTACAATTACAATTTAATCAACTATTTAAAGAAATGACATAAGAAGTGTGAAAGGAATTGTAGGAAAGATGTAAAGTGTAAACTCAAATTGCTATCAAGGAAGGTAAAGGTGTAACAACTCAGTGAAATTGTGAAAACATTGTAAATATCCAAAATATTTTGTCTTCTCTATGTAGGAAGGAATTTAAAACTAGAAATTATATGAGTTTTTTAGTGATTTGTGTAAAGGGATAGAAATAATAACACACATTGGATATAATTTATGTAAAGGAAGATTATTCAGAATCTATAGAAAAAGATACATCAAGTCAAGCACCATTGTCTCACACCTATAATCCCAGTTACTCAGGAAGCTGAGATTTGAGATCATGGTTCAAAGCTTGCTTGGGCAGTAAATATTCTTTTTTTTTTTTGGTCAGTTGTGGAGCTTGAACTCTGGGCCTGGGCGCTGTCCCTCAGCTCTTCAGCTCAAGGCGAGCGCTCTACCACTTGAGCTACAGCGCCACTTCCGGTTTTCTGGTGGTTTATTGGAGATAGGAGTCTCACGGTCTCTCCTGCCCGGGCTGGCTTTGAGCCGCGATCCTCAGATGTCAGCCTCCTGAGTAGCTAGGATTACAGGCGTGAGCCACCTGCGCCCGGCTAATATTCTTATCTCCAACTTACCACCCAAACATCACAAAATGGAGCTATGGCTCAAGTGGTAGAGTACCATCCTTGAGAAAAAGCTAAGGGACAATGCACAGGCCCTGAATTCAAGCCCCAGTACAGTACTCCCCAACCCCCAAATCATCTATATTCTATAGAAAACACATAGAACACATGTAATATTAATGTTTATCATAGCAAATTTGCTAGAAAAGTGACAGATATTGACCCAAGCAGAAGCTGGGAGACACTGAAGGTTTATATAAAAATGTCTCAATGAATGTTCTGACTCTATAATGCTTTAAATCCATCAAGACGAATTTGCTGCCCTTTGTGTCTTTTCTTCTTATACAAAATGCAATGCATTAGAGACATTGTCTTGACTTTCTCCATTTCTTCTCCGTATTATTGCATAGAGCAACATAAGATGTATTTCGTTAAATAAACTCACAAAGCATGAAAGATTCCAGATACCATTGCATAATAACCAACCTGTTTCTTTTTCACTAGGAAGGGTCAAGTTTAATGGTTCCTAGGATCACCACTATATATGCAAATTGGATTCCTACAAAATAAGCAGCCTTTTTAGAGTGTACATATGCACACTCATTATCTTAAAAGTGAATCAGGGAACAGAAAAAATATTTTCACTGAGAGACTTTGCATTTCAATTGACAGCAAACCAATTTCATGTCACTGCTTTCAGAATTCATGTTGAAGTTATATATAATTTGAGAATCATTCGTATTTTAAATGTAAAGATGATCTCTTAGAAGTCTAACTTAAAAAAAATCCCTGAAAATCACTCAGCCTATTTTTTAACTATTACCTATGGATGTCAAAGTTAATTAGACCTGGAAGTAAAGAACATTTGAGTTTGAATTTACCACATATTAGTATTGTAATGACAGACAAGCTACTATTGTCACTGAGACTAAGTCTTAGGGGTTTTTGTTGTTGTTGTATTGTTTTCTATCTAGAACATGAAAAAGGAAATATTATCTTAAAGGACATGAGGACAAGATGAGATTGTACTTGGAAATTTGCCTATATAGAAAAAGGTCCTTGGGCTGGGAAGGTGGCTCAGTGGTAGATGGCTTGCCTTGCATGCATGAGGCCCTGGGTTTGATTCCTCAGCACCACATAAGCAGAAAAAGCCAGAAGTGTTGCTGTGGCTCAAGTGGTAGAGCGCTAGCCTTGAGCTGAAGAGCTGAGGACAGCACTCAGGCCCAGAATGCAGGCCCCATGACTAACAAAAAAAAAAAAAGGAAAGAGGTCCTAACACATTCTGCACAATGGTGGCTCTCATGATGTTAAGAGTCTTTTCTACCCTGTCCTTTCCCAGAACTTTCAAGCTGCTCCTTTATGTCTCCCTACAGATTCCCAGTAGACATCTCAACCTTAATATAACCAACAATTAAAAACAAGTCTATAATCTACTGTGTAATTAAAATGACACCTATGATAGGTCATAAAACAATTTAATAGTATCATAAAACTATTGGGTACAATCTATACAAGGCAGTTTATATTATTATATACCAGGTAGGTCTAAACCTCAATCATTCTGTGCTTTCCTTAGGGTTCTTGCCAGTTCTTACTGTTTATATGCAGGTTTTAGCATCTAGCAGGCAGGGCTTTGTCTGGTTTATCTTAGCAGGATAGCTAGTTGGGTCTATCTTTTTTATTTTCTGAATGAAAGAGAATGAGAGCTGGAGGGTAATGGCAGCAAACCTTCTGTAAATGTAATTGTGGATGTATATTTGGAAAGTTTTAAGTACTGTTTTTAAGTATGATATCCTAGAGGAGAAAACTAGACTGAAGGTGGTTTATATGCACTCTTTATTGCTTCACAGTACTTAAAAGCATAGTAAAGCAATCATTTGTGTAGTCATTTGCTTAATATCTGTCAGCTCCACTTCAAATTCTATAGTGGAAGGACAATATGTGGTCTCTTATGGTCTCCGCAGCCCACAAAAGGGACACACACACACATACACACACACACACACACACCGGTAATTATATATGTATATACACATATGTGTATATATACAGATGTATAAAATTTTTTCACTGCTGGGATTCAGACTCATGGCCTCATAAATTCTAGGGCAAGTGCTCTACCATTGGGTTCCACTCCCAGCCCCACTAAAAACATTTTGAATCAGTGAACAAAATCAGGACTGTGTAGAAGCATGATTTGCGAACATGTGCCCTTCCTCACTCACAGCTTCACAGAATCTAATAATTAGTTTTCACTAGCTTTACAATATGTGCCTTCTCAAGTAAGCATCATGAATAGTTGAAGGGGAAGTATGTTTTTCTTTGTGAGTATTATGCAAAGTAGCATTATTTGAATTAATGATGATGGAACTGGAAACATATCTCAAGTGGTAGAGTACCAGCCATGAGCAAGAGTGAGAGGCCTTGAATTCAAGACCCAGTTCTGGTACAAAACACCCCCAACAGCCCATAAGTAAATGATGGCATTTCCAATTAATAACTACAGTTGAAGTTAGTTATATCTAAACATGGAAAATATGAAAATGTCCAGTACTTACATCTATCAAATCAGAAAGATCATGGATATAATACTTGAACACTGAGGCATTGGTTGCTTCCAGCGTTAGGAGATATTCATTACGTGCTTTAATTGATTTTAACTTATTTTCCGAATATTTTGCTTGTCTCTGGGAAAAAAAAAAAAGAGCAAAGCCATTTTAAAAACAAGCCAGAGAAACATATATCCATTTTTTAGTAATCTAAGCAACTTCACATATACAAGTGACCCTCAAAATCCATTGGGAAGCCGGGCTCTGGTGGCTCAAGCCTGTAATCCTAGCTACTCAGGAGGCTGAGATCTGAGGATCATGGTTCAAAGCCAGCCCGGGCAGGAGAGACCGTGAGACTCCTATCTCCAATAAACCACCAGAAAACCGGAAGTGGCGCTGTAGCTCAAGTGGTAGAGCGCTCGCCTTGAGCTGAAGAGCTGAGGGACAGCGCCCAGGCCCAGAGTTCAAGCCCCACGACCGACAAAAAAAAAAAAAAAAAAAAAAAAAAAAAAAATCCATTGGGAAGAGTATATTTTTAATGTGATTTAAATAATGAAGTAAAATAACCAAGCTATGAGGAGTAATGATGAATTTGGGCCTGAGATCCATGTACAATGAACTCTCTCAGTAAATATTCAAGCTCTTACGATAATACTGGACACTTAACACACATACACACCCCCCCATCCACTAATATCCAGCTATTACTAGATGATCCTCACATACCCTCAAACCAGGGGATAATCATTCATGATGGTGGATGTCAGCTAGGGCACAGTGTTTTTTCTGTTTGTTTTTGCCAATACTGACATCCTAGCTGCTGTCCCTGAGCTTCTGTTTTGCTCAAAGCCAGTGTTCTACCACTTGAACCACCACTGCTGGCTTTTCTGTGGTTACTTGAAGACTCATGGATTTTCTTGCCTGGCCTAGCTTCAAACCTTGACAGATCTCAGCCTCCAGAGCAACTAGGTGGCAAGCCAGGTGCCCTGTGGCATCAGTGTTTAGAGTGTTTTCTATATCTGGTCTCCTCAACAAAGGTCAGAAGGGCTTTGCTGTGCATTGTCGCCTACCTTTTCTTTCATTTTCTCAATTTTCTTTACAGAGCTTCGCCGCTGATGTCTCTCTTCAAGTCGGATATGGAAGACAGGATCACCAGATCTTCCGATTTGCTTTTCCTCTTGCTTCTCAGCCTCCTTCAGTTTGCTCTCAGCACTCATGCTCTCAGCGTGGTACATGTGGTACGTTTTCATCACCTGAGGATGAGGGATGCACACCATTAAAAGATGTCTGCCCATGACTTAACAGAGTGAATGAGGATCACTGAATGACAGAAGTGTCAAACACATCACCTTCCAACTGTCAGGTAAAGCCAGATCGTTAGTAAAATAGATGAATTATGGCCTACTGCTTCTACCTAAACCAAACAGCTAAGCAAATTCACCTGCCAGGGAGCAGCATTTTGGGGATAGGTTTTGATGGAAAAAATGACTTACAGAGTCTGATGTACATTTTTCAATGTACTTGAAAAGTTCTCTTCAGCTTAAAAGTATTTCTCTGAAATCTCCACTGCATTATTAATTGGCAGGATAAACTATTTATTCACGGATGTGTTTTAGCCCAACCAAAACTTTAAATAAAACTCAAGTCTTTACTAAGGGAAATTTATTGCTCAAAAACCACTAGTCAAAATATCAAAAGTTTTAGTTTAAAAATGTATTATTGACTACAAAGAAATACTTAAATTTCAGTATAGAAAATATCGCATACTAAAAAGGAAAAAAATAAAAAGGACAAGATAACTAAATCTTTTTGGCATATAAACTCCCAGTCATTTTCTTATGAAAAAGCACACACATATTCACATACAAGCTCAATTACATACTTCATTTAAGATTATCATATAAAATCTTTGCCTTTAAATGTATGGGATCATTATGTATGCAGAATTTCAATATCATTTTTCACATAATACACTCCTATTTCACTGAATATTCTTCTAAAATGTAATTTTAAGGAATGTATGACATTTCTTTATATGACTATGCCAATTAATTAATTCTTTGTTGTTGAGCATTTTAAGATCATTTCAACCTTATTCTTTAAAGAGTTGCTGGAAAACTTTCATGTATATTCTATTCTCTTGAAACAGTACATTTAATTTGCATTTTGGCAAAATTTAGGAATATTTACATAAAACATACAATTTTTATAATGTATCTCTTTCATAAATATGGAAACTATAAATACTCAATTTTTTTGGTAATTATTGTTACAAAAGTACTAAGCCACACAATTATGTCATCTTTTCTAGGATAAATTTTAGAAGTAGAATCATAGTTAAAAAATAGGCAAGGGCTGGAATGTGGCTTAGTGGTAGAGTGCTTGCCTAGCATGCATGAAACCCTGGGTTCACTTCCTCAGCACCACATACACAGAAAAAGCCAGAAGTGGTGCTGTGGCTCAAGTGGTAGAGTGCTAGCCTTGAGCAAAAGAAGCTCATCGACAGTACCCACGTCCTGAGTTCAAGCCCCAAGACTGACAAAAAAAAAAAAGAAAAGGCAAATACATTGACAATTTTATACTCTGCTAAATTATAAAACAAAGCAACTAAACTGATTTGTAACATTATATCTCAATTTGCACAACATAGAGGTCTAGTAAATATTTTCTCACACAATAAGTAAAGGTATTCATAACTTATTCTTAGAATAATATCTATGTATAATCTCTGTACTCTTAACACACAGAAGATTAATAGTCACATCTTTTTAGATGTTTTTATCTGAAAAATGACAGCTTCCCAATGTAATTTTAATGTTCTGTTACATTCAGAATCAGACATCCTGGTAAGTATTTAAGTCTGTGTATATTTTGCACACAATTCTGCTCCTTAGAGACACGACAGACATAGGTGTGACTTTCAATGCAATGGGGGCAAGGAGGAACATAGCAGTTCTGAGTGTCCACAATCAGTATCATAACATAATAAAATTCACCTTCCCAGGAGACACACTACTCATAAAAATTATTTAGATTTAATTTTATAACTAAGGTAGAGTTACTAAGGAGTTGAGACTCATGTAGCACTTAAATATTATATTCTAGAACTCATATGAGTTTTAAAAGAGATTGAGACCTGGAAGGCCCATGGGGATGAATGTGTTTAACCATGTAAGATGGCTGGTCTGTTCACTGCAACCTCATTTTTTGGCGTGATGGTGGTAATGGGTTTTGAACTCAGGGACCTGATTTTCCACTGATTATTTTTAGGATAAGGTATCACTTCCCACCCTGCTGTGAACCTGAACTCAATCTGCCTACGTTTAGGCTTTCCATTTTCCTCTGGAATAACAAACACATGCTACCAAGTCTAGTGTTGCTTCCATGGAGATGGGAGTCACAGGAACTATTTGGCCCAGGATGGTTTGGAATTGCAATCCTTCCAATCTCAGTCTCTCATGTATGCCACTCTACCAGCTATGGATTTGAAAAGTGTCTTGTGCATTTTTTTTTTTTTTACCCTGGCTAGCCTCAAACTGTGCTCCTCCCATTCCCAGCCTCCCAAATAGCTAGGGAGGTAAAGTGTGAACCAATGCTGTTTGGCTAGCAACACTCATTTTTAAGGTGACTGGAAAATATAGTGTTTCAAAAGTACGTGGGGGTGGGAATCATGCAGAAGAGGGATGAAGAGAGAAAAGGAGGAGTGCAGTTATGAAATTCAATGCATATTGTACAAAATTAAGAAAATGAGGAAAGAGATGGGGTTGGGAAGGAAGAGAGTGATGAAAGAGAGGACATTGCTCAAGAATAATTGAATCTCTATATTGCTTTGTTGAATGGCAACTCCTCTGTACAACTACTTAAAAATAAAAATAAAATTTAAGAAAGCACGGTATGAAGATCCTTGTTTTCATAAAATCTGATGGCCTTCCTGAAAAAAAATTCAACGAGCAAGAACAAAGTAAGAGCTAAACTGAGGCAGCCTTTTCTGAGCTACGTGCCTTTGGAAAGCCATCTGTTTTTGGTAATGATTGAACCTGGGGGATGTTGCGTTGTCCATTCCAGTTGAAAAGAGAAATAAAACAGCATTAGGAAGCAGCTGGCAGCTGCGGAATGAAAAAGGAGTCACCCTGCAGCTGGGCAAACAGCAAGGTCAGTGAATCCTGTGCACACCTTGCATTTTTAGGCTCTGCTCTGTTTATAGTCCCTGCCTGAAGCAAACCCACATACCATTTAGGTACCGGTGCCAGCTGTATCTTAAAGTGACTAGTGAAAAAACCAAACCCTCACACATACGTGTCCTGCCCTACTCCCAGAACTGCTTGGCTGTCTGTTTTCTTACAAATAACTCCAATCTTACATGGACCGAAGGCACCCAGATAGCCTTGGGTATCTGAGAAGTAACTTTTCATATAGCACAAAACACAGACCAACCAGTCCTCCTGACTCTTATATGGTGTGGATACTAAGGGCTGATAGGAGCAATCCATCTGCATAAACTAGGCCCTCCTATGGGAGGAAGCATACTGAGCTGAATATAATGAGTCTCGCACAGGAGGAAGTATGCTGAGGTATTTCTTCCTAATTAGTCTAGCTTGGAAGGAAATTATTTGAGTCCTATCCTAACATTAAGCCTGAAAGAGGTATAAATATCTTTCCATAATGGGGTTTAGTAAAACAGCCGAGGATTCTCTGCCTGATTCACTGAGAACAGATTTCCAGAGAATAGATTTCTTCATTCACGTTTCCAATTTGTCTTTGGATTGCCATGATTGGCTAAGAGGTTAACAGTTGTGATGAATGAATTTGAAAAGTTGGAAAGAAAAACTGTTAAAAGCGTTTGGAGAATTCTAATTGCAGATAACGAATGCAAGTACGCACAGCATTTTTTAAAAAAAAACATAAGCTGTTGACAGAAATCAAATGGGCTTTGTATTTAAAATAAAATGTCAATTCTTTTTTCTCAGAGTAGAGAGAAAAAGCTTTTCTTTTTTTAAAGGTACATTTTGAATATACACTTCAAGGAAATAACAGCTCCTCCTTTAGTTAATGCAAACACAAGTCTTTGCATAGCAAATGGCATGATGGGCTATTTACCTGGAGTTTAGATTCCTAGTTTCCTATTTTAATTCTTTTCTATTATGACTTCACACACAATTCTCCATTCAACATACATGATTTATTTATCTTTGCTCACCTGCACAAAAAAATATAGTCACAACATTGATTTCATTGTGAGACTGGAGGATCATCTATAATAATCTTAGCATCAAAGCCATCGGTTTTATGTTTTTCCTTAATGAAAGGCCCATATTGTATATATTTCAAATTAAAACAATCAAAATATTTATAGTAACTCTTAATACTTAAGTGTTAAGAAATCATTATGAATCTGAAAACAAGGTATGCGCTAGAGAAGATGAATGGACTAAGGCTATAGCTACTTGTTTTTGACTTCTAACTCAGAAGTTAGAAGACACTAATGTAGGGATGGTTATCTAACATCTCTGCTAACCCAACACAGGTCTTGTGAATGACAAATTGTGTGTCTGTCCATAATTGTTTCACTGGAGTATTTTACTCTATATGCGTATATCTATCTATGCAATATATGCCACCACTACAGGTAGGTACACATACCTGCATGTCTATTAATTTAGCAATCATTATATAATACTTACAATGTGATAGACATTGTTCTATAAGTACCATAGGAATAACTTGTCTAATTTTTTTTCAGTATCAGAGATTGAACTCAGGGCCCTGAACTTGTTCCCTGGTCTTTATCTGTTCTTCAGGTTCATTTGTCTCCTAAAAATCCTTTATCCCCTTCTATAATCCACTCCTCCCCAACAAGCCCCCAGCCTCCTTTCCCCACCAAGAGCTATTTGGTCCCACGTGGAATTGTCATATGTAGTATGATTCTTGTCCACTTGCATAGTAATAAATATGCATGCATCCTCTCCTGTTAATTGGTCTATTGTCATTTGAATTCAATTATTGAACTTCAGGAAGATAGAAAGTTTGTGGGGGATTTTTTGCCTCTACATAATTTAACCTTTCTGTAACTCAGTTTCCCTACTGTGCAATCAAAATCACAAAACTGCTCACTGTTCGGGGCAGTTGGTAGTAATCTAAAGAGCACAGAAGAAAGAGGTTGACATCGATTAACTGCACACAGTAACTATGGATATTTGAAGGAAATATAAAGAATAATTCATTTTATTATTAGGTAATAAGTTTTCTCTAATTG